TGCAGTGAATGGGTGCCGTCAAAATGAGAGTCCAAACAGCTGATATGTGGATTACTTGCCTATTATTTGTTTGGACTCTCATTCTGACGGCACCCATTCACTGCAGAGGATCCATTGGTGAGCAAGTGATGTAATGATACATTTCTCCAAATCTGTTATGATTAGGTAACAAACTCATCCACATCTTGGATGGCCTGAGGGCGAGTCAATTTCCAGCCAATTTTCATTTTTGGGTGAAATATTCCTATAATAACTTAAAATTTAGTACTACAAATTATTCTTTTACATGAAGCAAATTGTCACCGAGCATCAATTACCTGCCCATGATATCAATAATATTGATATTATACGAAGCAAAATAGTGTACTTGAATAGTCACAATAACAACATTTTAGCAGTCAATTCCAATACCAGTGAAATTTCACTTTGGGAAGCAATCTTTCTTGTTGCAATTGCATTTGGTGATGCTAGTGGAGCAGATAGTATACACTTCAGCTTTAAGTGAGTTAGCCTACAGCCCAGATCCCTGAGAAACTCAGCCATAACAGACATCCGACGCCATCAGACATAGACAGACTTGGAGGCCCTGATGTTTGACTCCAATATTACCTGAAAGGAAATCCATGACCTGAATGAAACCACCCCTTAGCACGTGAGCCGAGCAAAAACACATCAGCCACGAGTGAGGGCAGATGCGAGAATCTCTGTGTAAACAGCATCTCAGTACCTCGAGCGAGGGGTCACAACACGCCTGCTGTCCATCAAAGTCACAGCAAACCCATCCCACACCAGCTAATATCAGCTGTTAGAGTGGTTAGGAATATAGAATGGCGTTAACATATGGCTCCTGTTGGATTATTTTGAATTCTGTTGGATTTGTCATTGAGAAAAACACACGGATGAAACAGTAAAGAAAATTGTGAAGAAAATGGCTCCTTTGATTCACGTCTGCACACTGGAGAAAATCAAATGCTATTAAGAGGGATCTCACACCAGGCACGACAGAGACTCGAGGGAACGGCGTACATGCACACATACACCACACACACCAAATCCAACGCAGCTTCTCAGAAACCTTTTCACACCCATAACCAGGTGCGAGCTTGTGCTCCGTCGCACATGTGCAGATTTTCCACATCTATTCCTGAAAAACCTGGCGAACGGCATCATTAGTGGTGTTTGCTAAGGCAAAATTACTATTATTCAAACTTTAGCGCATAACCATTTATGCTAAAGACATGAATGATACCTCAAATCCTGCGGCCTGCTGAGGAGAGGCGTGCTATTACCTTTTTAAGTGATTGGACTTAAATTTTTCAGTGGTGCATAATAGAACAGGTGAAAAAACACAAATACTTATACTGTACAGTATATTGAAAGAGAGCCTCATGCAATATTTAGAGATCAGAATTTCACAGAGATTTATGAGTGGGCTCTTTGGTTTGAGATGGTCTGACTGGTCTCTGATGCTTTGATGGTTGGCCACTTGGTCTCCCAGCCTGACCCAAAAAATAAAAATAAAATAAAATTAAATAAATAAATAAGGTCAAGGTGCTAAGGTCTTCTAAATGTAATCATGATTTTTCAGGGGGAAAAGTGATTATGATTTAATACCTATGTGATTAATTATGTGATTGATTGATTTCCTTAAAAATGTGTGATTACATATCAATGACTATAAAATATTACTAACAAAAATAATTTCATTTTACAGTTCCACTGTAAAATTACAAAGCTAATATTTACGGATGTCCTAAGGTGAATGTCCTAAGGTTCTCTTTTGACAACAGGGGGTTTAAAACTGCTTCTCATTACAAGTACAGGAAGATTCACTTTAAGAATTTCTTCACTGATAAAATAGATAACATCAGAAATACAATAACAAATGTAGATTCTACAGCGTATAATACTTCAGCTTCATTCATCGCACCAAAAGATAAACTGCAGTGCTTTACAACTATAGAACAGGAAGAGCTAAATAAACTTATCACTGCATCTAAACCAACAACATGCCTGTTAGATCCAGTACCCACTAAATTACTGAAATAGTGGTTACCTGTAGAGTCACCACTGATAAGCTACCACTAAATATTGTAGAAACTTAATTTGCTGTAAAGTTGTTTTGCAACAATTTGTATCGTGAAAAGCGCTATAAAAAAATTAACTTGAAGATGCCTGGCGTATGTTGCGTTCCCAAATGCATGTTACAATCAACCCAAACTCAGAGCAAATGCAGAGATGAGGTTGTGTAGAGCAGCATTTACCTCAAACCAAGCCACTCTAAGACACTGAAAACACTGAACCACAAGCTGTTAGAATTTTAAAGAGCACAATGCAGCGCTTCATTCTAAAACATATAAAACATATTCTTATTTAATTAAATCACAGCCTTTGCGTTTCACACTGTCGACATGTTTGCTGCATTAGCGTGTGCCTCTATTTGATCGCGTTCGTCATTGTTCGGTTCATATTATTCGGCCTTTTCGCTTATTCGGCCGAACACCGAAATATTTTTTTTTGCTATTTTCGGCCGAATAATTTCGGTTGCCGAATATTCGGTGCATCCCTACTTTGCGATTTGATAATTCATATTATCCATATTGGTTTTATTTTGATTAAATGCACAACACTACTGGCTAATACTCAGAACTAGCTTAGGCTGGTTTAAGCGAGACCCCAGCAAACCCAGCAAAAGGTTTGTTGGGGCAAGAACCACTCACACTTACTTCAGAAATGATTATTCTCTGCCAGCTCATTTGATGTGCTTTCTGCCAGCCAGCAGTGGTGGAGGTAACGAATTACAACTACTCACGTTACTGTAATTAAGTAGTTTTTTCAGGTACTTGTACTTTTTTGAGTATATTTTTAAAGCTGTACTTTTACTTGTACTTAAGTACAAATTAAGCAAAATAATCTACTTCGTTACTTTTAAATCATAGTTCGTTACTGAGTACGCCCACAATTTGAATTAATATTCAAACCTTTGACGGCACTTCAGTAGCCAATAAAGATATCCGATCGTGAAGGGACCAATAACAGCCCTGATATCTGAACCGGTAAAAGCGCTGCTGCAGCAGGCGAAGAGCTGACCAGAGAGTGAGGGAGCTCAGCGTAATTTATGGACTCAAAGTTTGGAGAAACAAACCACATGGTAGTGTTATCATAAATATCTATATTTTGATACTGATACTGAAATATCTGACACTGTTCCGTTACTCATTTTCCACAGTATCTACCGTATATACACCGATACAAGCTGCGTCTCTCTCTCCTCTCCGACGGTGAGTTTGACACGCATCGCCTCCTGTCAATTTCAGAGTCTGAATGTCCGCGCGGGATTGCAGGTATTCCACATAATTTTAATCATTCCCGGGCAAATGTGGCCAGCGCTTT